TTTTGTTTGTTTCTTTTGTTTGTTTGTCAGGTTTCTATTTTGAAGGAAAAATCTTTTCCACTCCTAGGCTGCATGCGCTTAGAGGGCTAAAAGGAGATGCTACTGAATGTAAAAGCAATTTCAGAATAACTTAAATGTGTATAAAAACATTATCGCTTCATGTACCGGACCAAAATGTTTCTCGTTTTTTTTTTTTTGTTTTTGTTTGTTTTCGTTTTTTCGGTTGACATGGAGGCGAAGTTTATTTCCCTTATTTTGCCAAAAAAAAAGGAAAAAAGAGAGATTCATGTAACAACGTCTTTGTAACGACAAGTATTCATGTTCATAAAATCAGTTTGTTGCTTCTTAAGACTGTTTGGCTCTGAGTTTTCATTTAAAATAATCTCTAAACAAAAATACTATATTCTTATATCTCACCTCTTTTTTTTTTTAAAGGCTGTAATGATTGTCTTAAACAGCAGGGGGCGCGTGACATCCACTTTTCTCTGACCTCGTGCACAAGGTTACTTATGGATGCATATTACATAACAACACATACTGCATAAGAATTCAGTACAAAGATAGAAACCCCGTTTTGCAGCTATGAGAGTGGTCGTTATTGGCCCCTTTTAGATGATTTATCATTTTATATTCAGAGAAAAATCCAAAATCTGTAACATGAATATTAATTATGTGTATTCTTTGCATTATTAGATGGGATTTATGCACCAGTGAGAGGCTTTACTGCTCACCCAGACTGTCGAAACAGATCAATATCATTGTACTCACAGACAGTCTGAGTGGCAGAAATAAAGCGTCCATAAAGACCTCATTTATTGAATTACAGCATGTGCACAGTTCAATAATCAAAATAAAAAAACAGTATTTTTAAAAGGATTTCACTAGATTTGAAGTATTTTGATGCGACCTCCTGCTGCATTTGAGGTAGTAAATGTTTAGACTGGTGCTTTAAGAGTTAATATATTTACATATTAATTTAGGACAGAGGGGGATTTTCACAATAAATAGAACAGGATGGACTCATGGAAGCGCCAACACTGAAATAGTACTCCACATACACTGGAAGTGTTGCTGCCTTCAGGTGCTGTGGGAAATAGGGACTGTGAGTTTAGTGAACCTCAGATAAGATGCAATAAAAATTTAATGAATGTGAAAAGACACGTTATACCAGCAGAAGAAATATATATACATAGAATAACGAACTAATTAATTAAAAAGTGACATATATGAGATGATCTTACATTATATTAGACCAGACTATGTTAATAAATCCAGTATATCTTTAATTCTTTAAAGTTATCTTTAATAGATGGTCCAGTTTTCAGTTTTGTTTATTATTATTATTATTATTATTATTATTATTATTATTATTAATAATAATAATAATAATAATAATAATAGATTACAGACAACAGGACAGAGCAGGCAACTGGCCAGGATGCTCACCTTAAGGGGTAAAAGCTCCAGTTGTATTATGTATCAACTGATTATGTAATTTAATTAATTACAAACTTTTAATTTAATGACTTCTATTTCTTTTTTTATTGTTTTGATTGTGCTCACATGCTGCATATTCCTAAGAAGAAATCTTGGTGGGATTTGTGCGCAAATAATGTAACTTCCAGGCACTATATAGTCTGTATTATATGCTGTGTCCAATGTAGGGTAGGCAGGATCTCTTACAGATGAATCCAGAAATGTGGAAACAGTTCTGTTTGGGGGGGTATTTCTCAATAGACCAATAGTTGTGGAGATCTTTACACACACACACACTTTATTTGAATAACGTGAACACCCTTATAGTCACTAATAAACATGTAAGTAAGACTGGAGTGTCTCATTTTACTGGTTTAAACCTGACTTTCTCTCTTTACTAGTACAAACTCTTCATGCATTCTCTGACATTTGACAATATACTTATTTATCTCTCCTCATCCAGTAATGTTTGCTCCGCATACGTGTGAATTATCATTATCCAACATTTTACTGTTGATTACATAAATACACGCACATTACCACAGTATATTCTACATACCTGTACGTAACTGTGTGACTGTATATATTCTTAAAGTAAAGGTATTCCCTATAATCTAGACAATTAAAACCTTGCTATATTATTACAATACAAAGAATCTTGCACTAATCATACACCGAATATCACCAGTAACTATCATATGTACAGCATGTTTTATTAGTTCAGTTTATAGTTGTTGCTTTTGTTTTACTGCATTTTCCCATTTGGATTAATAAACTAATCAATCTCTATCTGAAATGAAATCCACTGGAATGCACTGATCTCTGCTGTCCGAGCTCGGGCTGTGTCCGTGAACGCCCCGCTGTTCCAGAGTACTAGTACAGCGGTGAGTGACAGTCCTGCTCCTCCACGGTAGCTGCTCCGCTCCGCTCCGCTCCTCTCTACACTACAGCAACGAGACCGGAGCAGGGCTGTGGGTGGTGGTGGTGGGGGGGGGCACAGACAGTCAGAGAGACAGGCAGTGTGCAGCAGGACGGGCTGTGGACTCTGTGATGTGCAGTAAATGGGGATTAAACCGCTCAGACAGCAGCAGTAGTAGCTGGTGGAGAGAGTAGGGGGAGCTCCGCGCTGCGCCGCCGCCGCATGTGCTCGCCCGTGTGCGCCTTGGAAAAAGAAAAAACTTGCGCCGAACCCGTCCGTCCGTCCCTGGGAGAAAAAACAAGCAAAAAAAGAAGAGGAAAACTAACAATAGGCTGCAGCTGCAAACTAAAAAACCTTGAAGCTCCGGGACTCGCAGCCCCAAACCTCCCCTCTCACATGCCTGCGTTGATGTGGGAGAGAGGGAGGGGAGCGGAGCCGGGGGATGTTTGAATCACCTCTGTAAAACTTAGCAGAAATATAAGAGACATTTAAAACAAATTATTTAAAAGAAGAAAGAAAGGTTTGTTTTTGTTTTTTTGTTTTGTTTTTTGGAGCGGAATTGAAGTGGCTTTATAACCGGGGAGTCATGGAGAGCCAAGCGGGCGGAGAGCACCAGAGCTGCGAGGACGTGCGGAAGAGCGGCTACCTCCGCAAGCAGAAGTCCATGCACCGGCGGTACTTCGTGCTCCGCGCCGCCTCGGAGCGCGGCCCGGCCCGCCTGGAGTACTACGAGAGCGAGAAGAAATTCCGCGGCAAGGCCCCCGTCCCGAAGAAAGCCGTGGCTCTGGAGACGTGCTTCAACATCAACAAGCGCGCCGACTCCAAGAACAAGCACATGATCGTGCTCTACACCCGGGCCGAGAGTTTCGCCATCGCCGCGGACAACGAGGGGGACCAGGACGAGTGGTACCAGGCCATGGTGGACCTGCAGTGCAAAAGTAAGTCACCTTAAAAAATAACTAGATGTACCCATGCATGCAGAGTGTGCACACACACACACACACACACACACACACACTCTCTGAATACTGTATGAGGCTGCTCTGCATGAGAGGGGAGAAACGTGGCAGCGCACTGCAGATCGGGACATGTTTCATTCAGTGTGTTTGGATGATATTGCAAAGAGCTTTATTTAAAAACCATTACAGCTCAGCTCAGCCAAGTTTACATAGTTTTGCGTGTGTGGCGTGGGATGGGGGTTGCAGTCTGACTGCCTTTTTAATATAAAATAATAAAATATTTAAGGTTTGAAGTAGTTTTACACCCCCCCCCCCCCAAAAAAAAACAGGTTAAAGTTGTTTACAAACGGGCTCTGAGGGGTGTGTGTGTGTAAACAAAGCTGCATGGTGGAGCCTCCCCACCAGTCCTTATCATACTGGTGTCAGCTCAAGATATTTGCTCCCAGTAGTCTCCAGACTTTATTTTCTTTGGGGGGGTGTTTTTCTGTCTCTGTGAGGCCCTCAGCTTTGTCTCTCTTACCCAAGTCAACTCAAACACACCCTGCCCTCTTGTTTGCTTTGCTTGCTCTGCTTTTTTTTTTTAGCTTTTTCTGCTGACACTGCAATATTACATCAGGAATTGATCCCAGAGAGAGAGAGAGAGAGGTAAAAAAAGAGTCCCAAAAGTAATCAGAGAGGAGCACATCTTTGCACCTCACCCATCATTCATAAATCATATTTATTTCCTGATTTGATTAGTGATCAGTAAGCAGCTTTGGACTCTCCTGCAGTGGATTTATATCAAACGCTCCCTCAAACGGCCTCAACACAACAAAATCACCCTCTGGATTTTTGTCTCAAATGGTGTCTATCAGCCGCTGTGTAAACACAGCTGTCTGAGCAACAGTGTTGAGCACTACGGCTTCAAAATCACCTGTTCACCCTTTCGCCCTCCTCGCTGTGAGAGAGCAGACAGGCCACAAGGGACACAGTGACGCAATCTTGTCAAACAGAGATATGAGTTCAAGGTGCTTCTTACACATGACCCCTCCTGCACTGTTACACAAAGCTGATGATGAGTGGAAGCAACCTGAGGAGAAAGAGAGATAATGATATGTTTGATATTTTCTTTCATTTAGAAGCCACAGAGAGTTGATTCAAGGATGAAGGCGAGGTTTTGGACGTTTTTTTACGAGCTCCAAAAAGTTGCGTGCTTGCCAGTCGGTGCATTAAGGGGGGATCTGAGTTGAAAGCCCTGCAGATTTTGGAGTTGGTGTAAACAACGCTGTGGCTTCCCGTGGTGCTTTAACACAACTGTGTGATTGTCTGTGTGTGTGTGTGTGTACAGCCCACTTTTCCCAAGCGTTTGACGGGAAAGTGAATAGACAGATGTTGGAGAGGAGATGCAAGACTAAACAGCCTTTAAAAAAAAAGTCTCCAAAGTGCAAATAATCCAATCTGCAGTCGCGTGTGTGAAGGTCAAGACGCACAGAAACGTTGGCTGTATCGGCTGCAGCTCAGCAGGTGAGTGCGCTCCGCAAGCGCTCAGCCTTTTTCCGAGGAAACCAGACAAGCAGCTCGGCTCAAGCATTATCGTGAGTCGTCTTTTGAGATTACAGGTCCGGTGTGCGCGGCACTGACGGCTCCTCATCCACCTCCTTTTTTTTTTTGTTGCTTCAAGTGTTGGGTTTCTCCTGTAAATCACCCTCCTGACAGTGACAAAGGGCTGCGGCTGGCTGGCTGTGTAAACCCTGCACGCTGGCAGGCATTTTTCTTGTGGTATGCGCTGCAGTTTGTACACAGTTTTCTGTTCATATGAAACAAAAAATGAGGCCACACGCACACACACACACATATATATGCAGGGAGAGTTTTGTAAGAGGGGGAGTTGTAGGGTCACGGCCAATTGCTGCCTAAACCTGCATGTGTGAAAATAGCTTAAATACACACACACACACACTGTCAGGATTCCTGCCTGTAATAACCCTCCTCTGGTATGTGCAGCTCGTACAGTTTCAAGTCTTGTGCGCCACCTCCTCTACCCACAGTCACTTCTCTTCTACTGTCAGTACATTCAAGTGTTCGGAGATGGAGGAGTTCACAGACTGAGAACAGGCCCAGAGCCAAGAGATGCTGCACTGCCTGTCTCACATACTTAGGACCACTCCTTCAATTTGATACCTGTGTGGCTGCCCCCCTCTGCAGGCCCTTCATACCATGAGGGGGAGAAGCTCTCAGCTTTGTTGCCTGGAGTTGTTGCCCCTGAGGTTCCTCAGCATGCATACAGTGGAGACACAATACTCTACAAGTTGGTATAGATATACCGCGCTTTGGTCCTGGGGGAGACCTCTTAAGCATCCCAGGAACCGTCCAGTATCCCACAGCCTCCTCCTTGAGCCGGCGGTAATTGCACAAACACGAGCCAGCTGCCGTGCAGGGTGATATTAGGATCCTGGTTATTTATTCAGCTGAGTCCAGTAAGACCCTTTTGGGCAGCGAGTACAGTATCAGGCTTGAGGGCAGCTATTTGCTCAACTATTAGGAGTCAGTCGAGTGTGTAAAGGCTTAACCTCGACAAAACGGGCAGAGGTGCGGCTCACAATCGCTGTTTGCCAGGAAAACTCAGGCCGCCACCTCAGGAATTGTTGTTGACCTCAATAAAACAATATGGCAGAGTTAAACTTTGGAGCTGGTGGCACTAAACACACACGCTTACACACACATGCAGAAAGGTTGCATGTAGTACAGCAGCAACATAAAAATGTTGCCAAAAAGCAGAAAGTCTGACAGGATTAATTCAGTTGAGAGAAAAGTGATCTGCAACCTTTTTAATAATTGTTTTTAATGATCTGCTGACTGAGAAGCAATTTGAAGACTTCACCTTCTTGCTGATGTCATTTTTCTGTGAAACCAATTCACTTGTAAAGACGTAATAATGAAATATAAATATTAATCTTGTAGTTGACCCCAACGAGAGTTCATGTTTGTTTCACTCAACTCCTCTTACAAGCTTTTTCTGTGCCAACTTTGTCTGTTCAAGCACTTCAAAGCAAGTAGACCTTGAATCAAAATGAACTTTAAAACTTTCAGCTTCTGAAGTATTTTCTTTTTTCTACATTTTATAAATAATCGTAAACTTGATATCTTTGGACCATTGGTTGGACAAAACAAGACATTTTGAAGATGTCACCTTTTTAATTTTAATGGGAACTCTTCATGAATAAAATGTAAGGATGGTTGTCAGTGTAATCTTTAGTTGCAGCTCTAACCGTCAATCTATTTAGATGGCTTTGTTGTTGACTTGATCACTGCAGTGCAGTAAATTTCCATGGAATTCAGTTTTGCGTGTTCAAAGCTCCCAAAAAAGAAAAAAAATCAAATTTAAAACACTGAGAAACATCTGTTTCCAAATATAATGACATGGTTATTCGTACTACTCCACAAACCTCCATTGAGAACAGTTACTCCTTCACTGTAAATCTGCTCCTAGTTAGGCCTGTGGATTATTTTGATGTAATTTTTGACACTTTAAGCACCACAAAGCAACTGCAGTTGATGGCAGTGTGTCAAATTGAGCTACAGCCAATATCCAAACCTTGCAAATCACACCAAAACTCTCAGATCTGAACTGATCTGAGAACAGTTGTGTTTTTGAGTGAACTTTCCTTTATGGTGTGTGCTGGATTATGAGCTAGAAAGACTCTCTGTCAGACTGTCTGGAGAGTCCTTATCCGGGAGTGTTGTTTGGCTGCTCTGGCCAATGAGATCTGGATCTCACCGGTTGCTCGCCGAGCCGGCCGATTAAACGTTAAGCCGCGCTTAAGCACTGCTCATCTCCCTAATTAGGCAGTAATTGTTGCCTCGAGGGTCATCCGCTGGTGGCACAGCAGAGTCTGTGTGCTAACAAAGTCAGAGAGGAGAGATTGCAGGGGGAAGCCCTCAAATCTAGAGTTTAAATGATCAGCCACCATGTATTTTCTGCTGTTTTTGTCCATTTAGAGCTTCAATTCATGCTCAAGAGCGGTTAGCTGCCTCTGATCTTTCCTCTGCATGAATAGTTTGCAAACACTCCGGTCTGGGCTTCAGCTCTCTGCCTTGTTGTGATTCAGCAGCTTCTTGCGTCAGAGTTACAGTAAAACATCGTGGGTCTGAAATGGCCTTGAGCACTCCTTCTTATGTCTGCCGTCGTGAATCCGGGTCGGCTCACCGCTGAAGCAGACCGTCAATTAAGTGCTCTGGTTTGATCGACAGCAAAGCAGGGCCTGGGGCAACAAGGTCCATTTAGTCAATGAGCGCACATATGTTGAGCACGATAGAGCTGCGGGGCTTTAAATGCACAGTGGCCTTTTATAGCGGGCCCTATCGATTGCTGTTGGTTGAAAGTAACGCATTACTGCTGTTGTAGTGCAGGTCAGGAAGTTCATGGGTTGGGATTTATTGGCCTTACAGTGAATACATTAAAACATGCAGAGAAATTAATGAAAGCCTTCCTCATTACCTGGCGTGCTATTGCTCTGGGAGACCCAATACGAGATAACTGCATTGATTACTACAGTAACACCAGCGTTGAGACGGAGGAATCATATGTAATGTAAAAAAAATTACTTCATGCACTCTGATTTACTGTTTTTGTTTATTGTGTCTTTCAAAAAAACGCCAAATATTAAAACGTACTTGTAAAAATAATGTGGAAAAATGGAAGGACCCTTCTGTGCATTGCTTTTGGGAATGAAATTTCAGATGGTTAAATGAGGTGAGGGTGGGATAAAGCTTTCGTTCTGTCTCTACATCTTAGCACAAAGGAATGTATACAGACTATTAGAGAGTTGGAGAGGCACACACTCATACACATGCTTCTATACGGTGCTTATAGGAATATTAAAAACTAAATCCTCCATATTTTAAAGCCCTGTCTCGAGCATTAAGAAAAAGCCTACTTTTGCATTACCATGGCTTTAGTTGTGTAGTCTAACGGGGCAGATAGTGACTAAGTATGTATATATGGCTGCATGCTGCTACATGTGCATGTGCTTCTACAAAGATGGTTAAATCTATGAAATGCAAATGCTTAATAAACTTTATAATATGTAGAAACCTCAACTGTAATTGAATTCTTTGCACATTTTATGTGTACATTTTGTAACTGATATGTTAATCAGCTATTGGCTTTTAAATTTTCATGCTTTATATTTGCTGTAAAGCTACATGAATACTGAATACATGAATAAAAAAAGGAACTTGGAGAAGCCACTTCCCTGGAACGCCATAATGAATTCCTGACTTGTTTAATTCTAAAATTCAATTTATCCCCTTTGGAAAACTTGTACAAGAGGAATTTTTGAAAACAAATTATTTTGTGTAGAAGAACTCACTGTTTTAGAAGTTCAGGCCCTAAAATGACGCTGGACCGCACCGGTAACCCTAGTATTGTTCACATTTACAGTTCACTCTGTGACTCCGTTGCCTGTTCTGACCTGATATTTCTGAGACGGCATGTTTACCAACTCTGAGCCCGGGCTCACCAGCAAAGTCAAAGATGGTTGCCAGTTTGGTGAGAGCGTCTGAGCTGATTTTTGCTTCAGATTACTTTCGGAGAACATTTTTGCGTGTCTCGTCAAGGGACAGCAAACCTTGGATGCGTCACCGATAATTTCACGCTCTTACGTGTGTGTGTGTGTGTGCTGTGTGTGTGTGTGTGTGTGTTGTGTGTGTGTGTGTGCTCTTCTGGCTAACACAAACCACATGTGAAATTAACATCAGGCAGATGCTGGTGTTGGGGAAGCTTTGTGTCCCAGAGTGTGGGCCCAGATAGGGGGATTACAGATGGTAGAGATGGATGACGAGATAGGGAAGTGGAGGAGTTGAAAAAGAGGAAAATGGGTACACATGGCAGCCAGAGATTAGACCAACTGTTTTCACTGCTGGGTGGCTCACTCCCTTTTTCTCTCTGAATTACATGCCAGGACAAAAAGTACACAGCTGTCTCATATCTGTCTGCGCTGGTAACCTGGTATGGCAGAGGGGGTGGTATAGGGGGCACAGTAGCTGAGAGAGGCGGTGGAAAATGGGGTTTATCCCTCAGAAGTCTCTGTGCAGTGTTTTTTGCGGTATTATGGCAGAGCACAGCATGCTGGGGCAATGAGGTCAGAAACTTGAAACAGAACCTAGTGAGAGCCAGCCGGTTCATTGCCAGAGTAGTTTTCCCTGATTTACAGGCTGCATTAGCTAACTAAGAAGAGGGGTTTTATTATGAATCTTGATGTAAATTTCAGTCAGTAAAGTCTTTTTTTTCCCCCAGAAATGCATTATATAAGGGTTGTTGCTTGAATGTAACTTAAAGGTGGAAATGAAACGCAGTGGAGTCCTTTTTAGATTCTAAAACTCAGCCTTAAAGCTAGAATCCCTCCCAGTGGCACCATGCTTCGGTAACAATACACCCTATCCTGTTCTTGCTGTGGCTGAGCTGATACAATCCTCAAGCCCTCAAGACCCCTATGGAAGACCTACTTTCTTAGGATTTGCGTGATAACCATAACAATAATCCAGTCACTCAGGGAGGAGCTGTCAATATCCCAGCAGGCATCTGGTAGCCCCGTGGGATAAATGTCACACGTACCCCTATAACCCCCAACACCCCTAAAAAATGCACTCCCTTATAGCATGAAGGCAATGAGAAAGCAAGGGAGACGCAGCGTCGCCTCAACATCAATAACTCAGCTCATATTTAAAATCCCAGTTTGAGTTTAGATTACGAGCATAGCAAATAAATGGGCATGAATAGACGGCAGTGTTGGCCGCGCAGGTCGCCATTCTCGAGCCGCACATAACACTGAAAGTTTCATGTGTGGTCGTGGCGAAAGTGAAGTAAACAACTGGTGCGTGAATAAGCCAGTGTAAGCTGTTTTCAGGTTGCTAAAAAGGGCTTTACTGAAACTTTTAATTAAATACAGTCACCTTGTATGAACTCTTTATATACACCCTCCGTCAAGGTTGTATCAAGGTTAGTCTGAAGGTTTTATCTGCACGCATCGCCCTCATTCAACCAGCAGGTTTAACGCACACGCTTACCTCCAGGTGTATTTTGCTTTCATGTGCATCCGCCTTTAGTCCTTGGATTCATCAGATTCATCTCCTGCTAAGGGTTGAGTGCATGTTTTTCTGAGGGTTCATTATGTTGTATAGGGGTGGCGTTGTGCTGCACGGATGTTGACCGGCTGATAACCTCTTTATGCAAAGTGAGAGGGGGGGAAAATCCTTACAGCCATCTCCGCTGAGTACCACACTGCTATGAGGGTCCCCCGAAGGAAAGCCAGGGGAAATCTATAATTCATACAGCTCCCTGTAGGATCAACTCTGGCTTCATGTAACCATGAAGAGAGGTCTGTAATGTATAGGGTTAAATCAGTCTGCACCCCTGTAGGAGTCTGGGAAAAACCTCTTAAAGGTTTTCAGTGCTCGAGCACAGCCTGAGTGGCCCTGAGATGAAGGGTGTGTGTGTGTGTGTGTGTGTGTGTGTGGAAGTGCTGCTGAGGGCACAGCTGAGGTTTAAGGCTGCACTGTACTCAAAACAAACAACACACTTGTGCTCTCCTAAAGACGTGTTAAATGGGCTCTTGAAAAGGAAAAGATACTCTTCGAGGAATATGCTGCGCTGCAGTTTGAGTCAATCTCGAGAAGCGACGGGCCAAAAAGTTTAATTTTAGAATAAATAAAGCCTCTAATTAGATTTTTTTTTAAATCCAAGTAATCCTTAAATAAACTTTCCTCTTTAAAAAGTCCTCCTTAATGGCTCTCTGGTATCTCTTTGCAATCTCCCACAGTCCCTCATTCCCTTCGGTCCCCACTGAAAAATCCCCAAACCATCCCTTCCTGTTGTAAATCTAAATCGAGGAGGCAAACACGGCTTCTTGCACACAGTTCCTCGCACACAGAAAGAAAAAAAGAAGCAGTACATGAAACAGCCATGCATGGCCTTGAGTGAGTCATCTAATGTAGGGGGAGTGCCTCCACACACACACACAGCCACTAACCCACAGCCTCCATGGCTTTCAACAAAACATCTATTCTAAGCCGCTTTCAAGTTGTGAGCGATCCTCCAATTTTGGGGAAGCAAAGTGGAAGAAGACACAGCAAAAACATGTCTGACTTCTCCTTCTTTTGCAATCGCAAGTTGAAATGTTTTGGGAAGTGGATCTGGGGAATTGTTTGTCATAACGGAAGCTCAGTTAACATGGCGTCCACTGTGCATGCTGAGGCTTCTGGTCTACATATGGTTGTCATTGTAGGATTTTCAGTAGAGGCATGGGAAAGGAAGAACAAACGCATGCAGACACACTACCATATATTTGTATTTCTGCGGTCAGGGTACACTGTGATTAGCCTGATTGGGCCAAAATCATTGCTTAAAGTAGAATACCACACAAGCTTTGTGAGAATATGATCTTTCACTCGGCTATATGTCAAAAAGTCACTTGTCCCGTCAGTGCCAGACGTGGTAGTCTAATAAGGCAGGTGCTCAACTTCACCATTGTTGCACAAAGAACATCCTGTTCCCACGAAGGGAACAGGTGAGCTTCTTCGTCAAGGTTAGTCTTCTTCAGTTTCTTCTTGTCATGAAATTGATTGATTCTGTGTTGTTGAGTTGCAATTTGTCATGCTCAGACATATCCTACCTGGCAGTTCGTCAAAGAAAACTAAGAAATGTGGTACATGAGAGAAAAGGGGCCATGTTTAAGTAACATTTTAGGGTGGTTCCTTTAAAGAAGAACAAGAATCCACCCAAAAACATGAGTCACATCATGGTATTCCTATAATCCTGAGCTTTTTAGTCAACAGATGTGAGGTCCCTTGGGACTGGAAGTAAAACAGCTTAGAGGTAAATCTGTGATATATTCAGAGGCAGTGTCAATAGCTGCAAACAATGCGTTGCACAGCATGATAGAATTAAGGTAATTTTCTGGGGTAATTTCCTGCTTCTGATCTGTGAACAATACAGTGACTTAAAACAGGCGGTCAAATGTTGTTAAGTGGTTTAAGTAAGTCCGTTGCCTTTGTATGGGCCCTACCAGCCCAGGATCAAATCTCACCAAGAGCTTTCTCCGTTTTTTCCTCGCCTCAGTAATTTCCTACTGTCTGAATACATAATACCTTACACAAAGGGTGAATAGACTGCCTGTACTCCTGCTAAAAGACACTAGATTTTATTAGTTTACAAAGCCAGTTTAGTGTCAGAAGAGCAGTGCTAGAAAATGGCCCTTGGAGAGCTTATTGAGTGCTTTCTCTTAGGTTTCTGGACATCTATTGGCATTGTTTGCTTTGGTTTTGGAGAGGATTCACTTGTTAAGCGTTTTCCAAGTTGGTTCACTTAATTTTTCCACAACGGTTGCTTTTCTTTCATAGTCATCATTCTTGTGTGGGGCTTCAGTTGTCAACGGTTTCATTTTTCCACGCTGGTGTGTGTGTGTGCGCCTGTGTGTGTGTGTGGTGGTGTGTGCGCCTGTGTGTGTGTGTGTGGTGTGTGTGTGACGCCTGTGTGGTGTGTGTGTTGTGGTTGTGCGCCTGTGTGTGTGTGGTGGTGTGTGTGTGTGTGTGTGTGTGTGTGTGTGTGTGTGCGCCTGTGTGTGGTGTGGTGTGTGTGTGTGTGTGCGCCTGTCAGGATGCCTGTGTGTGGTTGACCAATGAGACCCCAGGTATTGAGCCTACAGGTACAGTGAGCAGGTCTCACAAGCTCCTGCATGCTCCGTTTGAACTCAGATCTGGTTTAAAAATCAGTGAAAAGCTCAATATCAGCAGCTTACATAATAAAGGCACCTTGCCCTCCACTAACAGGTAAATAGTGGTGGTTTCACCTGGTGTTCCCTTTGTTCACAGATGCATGAAGGTCATATCAGTGCTTTGTTGCAGTAGCTGCCAGTGTTCTTCATAAATCCTCCTCTATAACACTTTAATTACCTCTCTGTTTTTTTCCTATCAAGTCATAACCTCTTTTTTCACTCCAACAACCTTTTAATCTCCTTTTTGTCTCTGTCTGTCCCTGAAGGTAAGAACCCCACTGACAGCGAGGCAGCAGGGGACTATGGAGTTCCCACTCCTGGGCCTGCATTCAAAGAGGTGTGGCAGGTGAAGGTGTGGCCCAAAGGCCTGGGTCAAGCCAAGAACTTGGTGGGCATCTACCGCCTTTGTCTGACTGACAAGACGGTCAACTTTGTCAAGCTCAACTCTGATGCTGCTGCTGTGGTGCTGCAGTTGATGAATGTCCGACGCTGCGGCCATTCAGAAAACTTCTTCTTCGTCGAGGTGGGACGCTCTGCCGTGACAGGCCCGGGCGAGTTCTGGATGCAGGTGAGCCTGTAATCTGCAGCCCCCTTTATGTTGAGAGTTGCACCCTCCAGTCCCACATATACATTTAGAGCCTATAATCAGTCAGAGAAACTGAGTTGCCCAACAATTTGGTTATAGTTTGTGTAACCCTGCATTATGATCTAGTTTATAAAGGTCATTGCTTGAACGTAACTTAAAGCTGGAAAGGCAGTGGAAACACTATACTTTGACATAGGCTTTAGATATTTTAACTCAATCTTAAATCAATTTAGGTATGTTTGCGAAATAACCTGTTTCACAAGTGTAGTTAATTTAATCCCACAAAGCAGTCAGAAATTAAAGAAACCAACCAATCAGTATTTGAGCTGCCCTGTCTTAAAGATACTCTTTAAATACAAATTTAATTTAAATGCAAACATTTTCCATGGGAATCAGAAATTTCAGTGTCCACATATTCAGTTTAAATTCTCTCATTGTATTTTTTCACCAAATTAGCTCTAGTTCTTTAACCAGTTATGTTCAAGATTCTTGGAAGCTTGGTGCTATCTAGTGGACCAGTCCACATTTCCAACAGTTTTAAGCCGAACCATAGTAATCCCGGATGCATCATCAACAGCCTGTTGAATATGACGCGCTCTTTGGTTCCCAACGAAAACCTGTTCTTAATTTGGTTCCAGCTGGGAACCAAGTTTTTGGGTTCCAGACAATTTATTTTTGGTTGAAATGCTCTGAACGATTCAAAACTAGGTGTGTGAAATAGAACAGAGCTGGTTTACTGTTGGTGGAAATGACCAGTGGTTTGATTTTCAACTAAGAATGAATTCACAAATACATGTAGAATGTACCATAATTATGATTTGAGTTTACTTTTTGAGAGGGTTTTTTGTGTCATGTCCTAGGTGGATGATTCAGTGGTGGCCCAGAACATGCATGAAACCTTGCTAGAGGCTATGAAGGCACTGAGCGAGGAGTTCCGCCAACGCAGCAAGTCTCAGTCGAACTCCGGCCCCGGAGGAGGTGCTACTGCTTCTAACCCTATCAGTGTTCCCTCACGGCGCCACCACCCAAACCCTCCACCCAGCCAGGTGGGCTTCACCCGTCGGCCCCGAACTGAGCCTCCGGGAGGAGCTAACGGTGGAGCAGGGGTCAGCAGTGCCAGTGCCTCTCCCACCCCACGCCATAGCTTCCCCAGGTCTCGCACTGCCAGTGATGGGGGGAAATGTGATGACGGGATGTCTGGGACCACACCGCTCCAAGGGCCAAGCTCCAGCCCCTCTACCAATGGGTCCTGCTCCACCACCCCAATCCTTAGGTCGAAATCAGCCCGTTCAGCCCCCACCTCAGCTGCTAAAACTCCTCTTGGGTTGATGCGCTCCATCTCGACCCCAGCGCCCTCCCCAGCCCCAAGCCTCTCCTCTAGCTCTGGACATGGCTCTGAATTTGGAGGCGTAACATCCTCTGCCGGTGCTGGTCCGTCAGGTGCTTACAGTCGTGTCCCTTCCCATCACGCATCTGTTTCAGGCTCACCCAGTGACTATGGCTCCTCAGATGAATATGGTTCTAGTCCTGGGGATCACACGCTCCTACCCTCCCCGAGCCTCCCTGGAAGCTCTGTTGGTAGTGTTGGCAGCCAGTCCCTTGGTGAGGAGGGAGCCAACTATATCTTAATGGGCCAACGTAGTGGTGGCGGTAGCAGTAGTAATCAAGGGAGCTTGACAAACAGCTCGCTGCCAGCACCAGGACCACCAGCCTGTGGGTCCCAGCCCCAGACCAGGAGAGTGCTCCGGCGCTCTTCCAGCCGTGAATGTGAAGCTGAACGTAGGCTGCTGAGCAAGCGGGCTTCATTACCTCCTATGGCCTTGGAGAGGCTGGCCCCACGTCAGCGCAGAGCTGAGGAGCCAGCAGATGAAGATTCAGCTGATTATGCTATCATGTCGAGAAGCACCAGCCGAGAGTCCTTTACTTCCACCTCCTCTTCCACACAGAGGGAATCTGTAATGGGTTCTGGGTCAGCAGGGGGAGGGTACTTGGATGTGGCGGGTGAGTTCAAAAGTGAAGGGGCTGGAGGAGCAAGTGGTAGTATAGATTTAGGTGTGGACAATGGGTACATGTCCATGCTGCCTGGTGTCACTCAGCCTCCAGTATCCCTGTCCCAATCATTGGCTGTCTCTGTCCCAGACACAGATTCCAAACCTGCTGATGATTATATGGCCATGACCCCTAACAACAGTGTGTCCCCTCCACAGCAGATCAGGCCTCCACCAACATCTGATGGCTATATGATAATGTCTCCCAATAGCAGCTGCTCCCCTGACCAGCGTGGTGGTCTCTCTGGAGGCGCTTGGGTGGACAGTGGTAGTGCAGACAGCAGGGCAGGCAGTGACTATATGAACATGTCTCCAATCAGTGCACGTTCTGTAAATGGAAGCCCCCCACCTCCTGAGCACACTGGCCATTTGGAGACCAGTTCTCAACAGCAAGCTCCCAAGATGGTATATTCTTACTATTCACTTCCCCGGTCATACAAACACAACCCCTCTGCTGGACACTTTGATGATGGGCCTGGACGAGGCAGAAGGCCCAATGGGAGTTGTAGTAGAGGAATGGGTGGAGGCAGGACTATGGGGGGGCGTCAGGAGCAACCAGCAGCAAGCAATTCGATGGTTGGACGACACCTCTCACTCTCCTCTTCCTCATACTCCTCCAGCTCAGCCAGCAGCGAGAGCCTTGGAGAGAGCGAGGACCGACCTACTCAGTCGGTGAGCACCATGGCAGGGGGAGCTCAATCCAAAGATGGGAGTAAGCTTCAGCAGAGACGGAGTTCAGGTGGATTGTCCAAGCAGGGTAGCCACACTAGAAGCAGACCAGTGAGCCTGTTTGTTGATGTATCCAAGGCAAACACCCTTCCTAGAGTCCGTGAGAACCCCCTGCCCCCAGAACCTAAGAGCCCTGGAGAGTACGTAAGCATTGAGTTTAAGGGGGAGAAGAGCAGTCAGACTGGGGTTGGAGGAGGGCGCGGCAGGGGTCTCAGGCATGGCTTATCGTTGCCTCATGGCTCAAGCAGCAAGCATCCTCAACACAGGCCCACGTCTTGCTTGGGTAACTTCATCCCCCTATCCCGTAGCCCCTCTGCCCCCATCACTCCCCCAGCTGCTTCTGAGTATGTCAACATGGACCTCGGCCCTTCTCCGTCCCCCTCACCCCTTACTCCACTAGTTTTCCCCACTTTCCACACCCCTCCCACACCTCCAACTCTCGCTCATGCCCCAAAAGCCTGTGAAGAGGGTACTACTGGACCTCGTGAAGAGGGGGCCGAAGTAGCAGAGGCCCCACTTAGGAAAAACAGAGAAAGTGTTCCATCAGTGTCAGAGTCCCCAACATCCTGTGGAGACTACACAGAGATGGCCTTCAGCCTGAATAGTAACACCGTCCCTAGGTCATCCTCCAGTGTCTCCCCGAAAGCCCCTTCCCCCACCATGACTGTTGCTACTGTTCCAGTGCTATCACGGGGTCTAGACTTCCCCCTAGCCAAACCAGGACCCAACCCGGACCATGGTGCAAAAGTTATCCGGGCTGACCCCCAAGGACGCAGACGGCACTGCTCAGAAACCTTCCTTGCTTCACCTTCCCTCCCCACCTCTAACTCTACTTCCTCTTCTTCCACTGCCTCACTCTTTCCAGAACATGCCCAAGCTGTGGCCCGCCGACTGGGCTTTGAAAGTATGCTGTGGGGAAATGGTGCTGTGACCGATAACCCCACACAGTTTGCCCTCCCTGGACAGCAGTCCCTTCCCACAAACACTCAGACTTCGTCCACAGAGCAAGGCCTTAACTACATAGACTTGGACTTGGCCAACAAAGAGAGCCCCCATTTGGGCCTGGATGGACCCTCAGGTAGCCAGGCCCCCTCTCGGCTCTTCTCTGTACTAGGTGGAGGTTCTGGGGTCGGGGGAGTGAGCGCACCGGTCGGCAGCAGCAGCAGCAGCAACTCCAGTCTCAATACTTACGCCAGCATCGACTTCTACAAATCAGAGGAGCTGCGGACGCATAAAAATGGAAGCAAGGAGGGAACAGGTAAGAGTTGCCTTTATTCTTTTAGAACACATTTGTTGGACTGTGTTTAGTCTCTTTTAGTTTTCCCATCGCACAAACACACTCTGTGATTTCTTTCTTTTGTTCAACCTTACCTTTCTCTTCCTACATATGCTTCGTCACATTTGAAAATAATCCAATGGAGCCAACACACCCTCCCTCTCTATCTATGCTTGTAATGAAACTTCACCTGACGCCAGACTAGAGTGTAGACACCAGTCTGATTTGTGTGACTGTCTGCGTAATCCACAATATGAGATATAGATCGACTGCTCTGACAATTCACAGATAGATTTCCTTCTCATGGGCTCAGTGCACCTCTACAGGCATATGGACTTTTTTACTTTATGTGATTATAAAAGGTGCTGAAAGACAGACAATCTATTGGAATATCAATGAATATAGATGTTGTGGAAATTACTGTTGATCCCCTCAAGACTCCTTCAAAGCGTTCTTAGTGCTACACCACTACTTCCATTCAGTTTTTACTTTCATTGTGTTTATATATGACAAGTGGCAGAATCCTGAGCTGTTGCAAACAACTCCTAGCTAAAGAAACCATTCAGACCCACCACTGAGGCATTGTATTGCAAGTTCAATAAAGTTGAACTTTGACCCTCTTTCCATTGACCTGTCAACCTAAGATCCTCCAATGTGACATGAGTAGAAAGCAATAGAGCAGAATAATGATTGTTCCATGAATGACTCAAATTTTATCTTATTTAACGAGTTTCCAGAGCCCTACAACTTTAAAATGCTAATGATGTTATGTAGGAGAATATGCAAGCATTAAAGTGGGATTGCAAGGTTTGTAGAAAAAAATTGTTTATTATGATTTGTATGCTTAACTCAAGCAGAAAGCTCTGGTTGTTTAGTTTGGCCTACTACAGGGTTAAAAACAGTTTTTACGATTATTTTTTTTTTCCTGTGATCGTGTTCTAGAAAGAACGCACAAAAATCTACAATTGTGCTGTAACTGCAACTTTTTTGTTGGGGAGGGAGGTCAGTAAGGCCAGATGAGCAGTTTTCATTGTATTTACATTTTTCCTACTTTGTGGGGCAATTTTCTAGCTGTGGGGGATCACCACAGCTAAACAATGCCTCAACTAGGTCACCGTGAGACGTTTCCTCATCGAAAAACATTCTCTTTGAGCCACTGTCTGCACTAAATTGGCCTGTTAAGAAATAGACGCCTGCAGTTTAAGCAGATAGAGCAACATTTAAATGGAGATGTGGATTTATATGCATCAGTAAAACACTCAGTAGTCTTACTTAACCTTCCACAGTGGGGCTCTTGTGATGAATGCATCCTGCCAAACCTTGTTGTTTATGTAGCACTGCTAGCCTCCGCATGATTTGTACTGTAGGTTGTGTTAGACTTAAACCTCATGGGTTTTTGTGGTAAATGTTTCATAACCCGGCTCCGCAGTTGGATTTAATGAAAAATGTAAGGCATTAGCGAAAATTCATCATGAGATCTTGCGGTGAATGCAGTAAGGCTGAGCTCAACAGTTGGGTTTCATAGATTCCACAGATGGAAATGAAACATCAGCCTGCATCCATACGTCGCCGTGTTGGTTTTATTGGGAATTGGAGGCCATGTTGGTGGAAGCAGGCGGTGTTGTTGGATGTATTTTTAAGTATAAATGCTAGCAGGCTACCACAGTGGGAACATATGGGTTCTGGCTGCTGAGTATGTCAGCGGGGCAGCGTGGGGGAGAATGTTACACATTGGCTGTGAATGTTGAGATGGGGCCAGTGTTTCACTCACACAGCTCTCAAATGCCTCTGTACAGTGTTCCCCCTCCTTTCATCCCTCCATTCCGCCTCCCCCTCTTTCCTCCTCCAATAAATGATCCTTTTGTTCGAGTGTTTTTTGCCGCGGTGGGCTGGCGGGCCTCTGCAGGGCCAAGCCCCAAGACTAGTGGACTCTCCTGAAACCGTTTTCTCTTGCCCTCCATAATTTGTGGCCTCTCTATCTTGCTTTCTTGATTCTTTTCTTACCTTATTTTCCTCCTAATTACTGTCTTTGTATTTTTGTTTTTCTATTTGACCACTTGTCCTTGCACTTATTTCTTTTCAATCTTTGTCCTCGTCCGACATCTAGGCTGATGGATTTTTTAAATTCCTTCCCTCCCCTCTGTTCACTACACATACTGTTGTTCAACATTTTTTTCACCAAAACCTCTCCTGTCTTTACGCCTTTTGTCCTCCTCCCTTTTCACATTGTGTTTCGCTCCATCCTTTTAAACGCTTGCAGAGACACTTAAAAATAGATTTTAGTACCGCGCTGAGACGTTTTCCTTTTTGCTGCAGAGCAGCAAGCAACCAGAGAAAGAGACAGACGAAAACAAATTTGAAAAGCAAAAAGACAGAGATGGTACATGACAACCAATCTATCCGTTACTATAAACAAAATACAGTTTAGAAGCGATTAATTATCTTGTCTGCATGGATCCTGTGTGCTTTTTTTAAGCATTCTGATCTGCTGTAATTATAGGGATTTTTTTTTTCCTCCAACAGGCACCAGCTTGTATAGGCTAAGTGTGTATGTCTCAGGGGTGTGTACTTTTGGCACAGAGAGCCTAAAGGCTAAATTTGAGCATCAGTAGTGGGACATGTGCCAAAAACAATCCTATTGGACTATGCTTATGTAATGTGTAACGTGTAAAAATAACCTCTCTTGATTTAGATAAAGAGGAAAAGGAGGGTGAGATGTTTCACTCTAAATGAGTCTTTTAGAAATAAAATGAAATCAAAATGAATCAGCTACATTGAATTTGATATGTGTGTTTTTCTTTTTAAATCGGTGTCTTTGTGTAGAAAATATGAGTGTCTGCATCGATGTCTCTGCTTTTTATGAGCAAAGTTCAGCCAAAGTGTGAGAGACAGTGACTGCAATGTGTCTTTTTCACTCAGCTGTGTGGATCTTTGTGGGTGTGTTGGTGTTTCCCACATAACGGAGGAGTGTCATGACCTTCAGCAGAACGGAGTGAAAAATTCCCCTATGAGGATTTTTGGGACAAAATGTTAATTTAAATTCAATCAGCTACCGCTTCCACAATCTCCTCCAGGAAAACCATGTGAGAGAATTTTATTATCCGCGCTTCCAGCTGTCCCTTAACTTTATTTCTTTGGCATCTGCTGGGGGATGCGTATGCCAGTCTCAAAATAACCTGTAGCCTTTCAAAATTCCTTCCCTAGGACACCCTGCTTTGAGGAAGAAGTTTCTAACAGGGAGATCTATGCATATGCATAGTTTAAAATCCAGCCTTCATGCATTCACCACATTTGGATTTAATCTGTAAACACATTTAAAAACTTGAAATCTAAACTAAATTCTGTTTAGCTTTCCATCATTTCTGAATCACAAGAACATTGTTGTTCACAGACGCGGAACTGTTTACATTTGTTTACTGCTGGCTAATTGGGCAAAACTCATGCATAACTGACCAATTGGATCAGTATCGTGTGTGTGTGTGTGTGTGTGTGTGTGTTGCTGTGTGTGTGCACTCCTAGTGTCTATAATCTTTATACTTGTTTTCCAGTTTCAGATTGAATCACTTGTTACAGAGATGGAAATAGATTTTCATAGATTGTGTCTTGAATTCAGTGCCGTGGGGGAAATGGCAAACACTGTGAGGTTGTTTTTAGGAATTAAGTGTAATTTAGTTTGATTTTCGTTCACATTGGAGTTGGCAATATAGATAAAATCTTCTATCACAGTGTATAATTTAATTTGGGGATATTGATTTTATATTGTGATACAATTTATTTATTATATTAATTTAAGTAACCAGATGAGAAGTTTTTCTGGCTAATACAGTGAAATAAAGCCGCCAGATATTGATAGAAAAAGGTCTGAATTTATAATATTCCAATATCAATCAGTATATGTTTTAAAAAACACCAAAATGACCAATAATACAAAAATGACAGCTGAAATTTAACCTTAACTACATAGAAATAAAACTACATTGACCCTCCCAGTGTCATGTCGTTTTATTAGTAATACTGCTGGTGTTTCTGCGCCCAGTCGGCAGCTAGTTGGCACATTCCTACCTCCTCAAAGTCCCAGGTCATGTGGGCCAGGGACAGGTAAACATACTTAAAGTCAGTCAGTGGAGCAACCTGGAACTCACACATTACCAAGTCCTTTTAGCAACCAAATCATGTCCACAGTTACGTAATTCTGTGTCTGTGTGAATCAATGAAACACGTCACCTTTCTGACCGAGATTGAGCGGGATCAGGGGCCGCCAATTTAATAGAAATTTAAGTATAAGTCTGGTTTATTACAACTGAGTCTTATTTTCGCTTTGATCATAGTTTATTTGGGCTAAGCTGATGAAATTAGGGAGGATGGTGACATTGCTACAACGACGGGAAACAAGCTCTAAACCGCCGTATTTGTTGTTAAAACAGAAAGTTGGAAAGCTGGAAATGTGGAAAAATGGAAAACTGTGTGTACACATACACAGTAAGAAGGCCAAAGACTGAAAGACAGACTGAGACTGATATTTACAAGACAGACAATTTGGGTAGATCTGTCTTCTGTGTTCCTAGATATCAGCAAATAACTTGGTAAATTGATATTATTATTATTATTATTATTATTACTGATAGAAATGGTGGCCGAGGCTGTAAAAAAAAGTCAATAAGACCCAAGTTGTAATGAATCAGATCTGTCCTTTTAATTATTTAATCATTAAATCATTAAACTAACAAGCACATGCATTCAAAATTCAAATGGATTAATTGGCGTGACGTAACACTACACATTGTCAAAGCAAGCGTTTAGACATTAATTAGAAAATAAATTCATTCCTCTTCAAAGAACACACAGTTTTCCTCCTGCAGCTGACAGGCTTTTATCTTGCTGGGTGTGTAATCCAGGGCAACACTATGTTAGACTGACAGCACTAGTAGTGTTATGTAAAACACAACCACGTGAATGGGACATGACCCCCACCAGGGTGAGGC